TCGACGTTATAACGATTTTACCCGCCATTAACTTATACAAACCGGTCTTCAAATACTGTTATATTTGCCAAATAATCCACAGTTGTTGTTCCCTTGTTGGCCTTCTATTTACGATTCCGCGATCTTCCAAGACGTTCAATGCGATACGTTCCACTGGTGCCATCTCAGGTTTCCCTTAGCTGATGTTTTTTAATGGTACACACTAGTTGTTAAGGATATCTCCGACCTTCTCCCTGGTAGCCTCGATAAAACGCTTTCGACTCCAGAAATAACCGCCTCGGCATATATGTTATATTTGTTGGTAGTAAAGCTCAAGCCGTTCTCCGACAATCTACGTTTCGTTTCATTCAAAACTTTATCCTACAAATTCTATCGCAATGAGGCTAGACCTTAACATGGTGCGATGGTTTATGTGCCTCAGTGCTCCATTGAGCTATGATGGGTGGTGCACTTCCACCTTCAGAGCCACTCATATCAGATTGGTCAATAGTTAGAGGCCAGACAAACGCAGCCTTCTGGTACTCCAGATTGGGGGTTGGATTGAGGATGGGACGTTATTTCTTAAAACGGACTCTTTATAACCCAATGCCAAACCCCGCTGCCTAGCGGTCAGGTTTTTGAACCAAAGTGTTTGGTTGAGAACCCTACTCATTCTGTTGTCTAGGCCTTTGCAACCTGACAGTATTCTGTCCACGCAATACTATGAATCTTTCGTCAAACAACTTCCTGATGCTCTGGTCAACGCAGAGGATAATCAACGGTGCCCTATCTGCTGCATCAAGAAGGGTGGATAGGGGTTTGGATGCTAGTGCTCAATCCTTCCTGTCCTCTTACGCTTTTTCTCTCTTATGGTCCCGTTCCAACTTCACTTTTATACCCCAGTTTTCAACCCCCATGATTCTTGGCCCTCCCCCAACATGCTTTGCTAGGCATTTATCTTCTAATTACAACTCACATGCTAACACGGAGCGTCACTCCTCTCCTGTCGACAAGCCCATGTCCAATCAAGCGGTCCATTACAGTTCATCGGCTTCCATCTGGAGCCCTCGATCCTCCTTCAGTTTGACATGCCTCAATGTACGCACATTGCTACAGATCGGTCAACAGGCAGCACTTGCCCGAACATTGGCGACCCTCTCGATCGATATCTGCTGCTTATCAGAGACCCGCCTGCAAGACTGGGGGTCTGTGCTCACTCAGCGATCCCCTTCAGGTGACACTAGCGGCACTTTCTCATTGTGCCTATTCGGTGACGATGCAGCTTTGAACACCTGCCAAACTGGGGTTGGCATTGCTCTGAGTCCCCGGGCTGAAACTACTCTGGTTGATTGGACCCCAATTAGTAGCCGGGTGTGTGCGGTCCGATTGGCTGACTCGTTCAAAGCTTCGGAGTCGCGCTGGACTAATAGGTGTCTATTCGTTATCACTGACTATGCACCGACAAACTGTAGCGATGATTCGGTAAAAAACGACTTCTACCTCTAACTGACCGAGCTCCTTCGTCACAGAAGAAGCACGGACACTGTTGTGTTGGCAGGGGATCTGAACGCACAAGTTGGAAAGTCGTCCACTGATGAAATGCTTCTGGCCGGTCAGCACGGTGTAGGCTCCCGTAATGATAACGGCGGGCGGTTAGTTCGTTTGTGTGAAGATGCTCGCTTATATCTTGAGAGCACTAATTTCCGACACAGCACCCGCCGGAGGGTGACTTGGCGCCCACCAGCCTCGAACCAGCTATGGACGCAAATCGATCACATTGTGATAAGTTACCTCTGGAGAGGCTGCAACTAGAACTGTCGCTCGAGTTGGAGCATATGTGTGGTCACCGACCAGGCACTTGTATGTGCTGACCTGCGGATGCGTTTTGGCGGACGCTCACGAGGACGCTGTGAGCGCATTGATACCAGCCAACTGACGAGGCCAGCTGTTCTGAATGCATATCAAAGTACGCTGACATGCGAGTGGAGTAAGCACTCACTGGAAAAAATTGAAGGTCACTGGTCACAGGTTTACCAGACCTTACTAGCAGCTGGTAAACACTCATGTGCTAATTCTAATAGCCAGTATGGACATTGGGTCTCTTCTCGGTCTCTGGAACTTATCGATGCTCGCAGGCATATTCCGACTGGAAGCGAACACGATGAAACTCATAAAGAGCTCCGGACAAAACTCCGTGCTAGCCTGAAGAGAGACCACGAATCCTGGTGGTCTCTTTGTGCATCAGAGATGGAAGTGGCCGCTGTCCTTGGTAGCCATCGAAAGGTATTCCGTCTGATACAGGAAACGGGCAGCAGGGGACCTGGTGTTAGTGAAACCATTTATGACGAGTGTGGATAGCCTATCCACAATTTGTCAAAGCGTTTGGAGCGTTGGGTTGATTATTCTGAAAAGCAATTGAATTGACCGGAATTGTTCTATTCTTCACTGGCCAGGGATCGCCCTGCACCATGGGCTGTTCCTTTGGATCTGCTCTCTCGCTCAGAAGTTAACCGGACTGTTGAAATTGAACAGACCCTTGTAACCGGATGATCTTCATCCAGCCCTCTTCAAATTCGGGGGCCCTGCTCCTGTTGCTGATTTACACGAATTACTAGTGAAACTGTGGAAGCAGGAAAATGTCCCAACTGACCGGAGCCGCTCCGTTATTTTTCACATCTTCCAACGAGGCTCGCTTTCGGAATCCGGCAACCATAGAGGAATCAGTCTGATCTCCATCGCCTCCAAATTACTTGCCTCTGGAATCCTTCAAAAACTGACTAGCGCTCGTGAAATCCATATTTGTGGAGACCAAGCCGGGTTTCGTCAGGGTCATGACTGCATCTTTACTTTCCGTCCATTGTTGGAGGACCGTCACATATATTAGCGGCCCACGGTAGTCTTGTTCCTCGACATCAAAGGTGCCTTCGATTCTTTAGATCGATGTGCACTTTGAGACTGTCTACTCAGGAAAGGTGTGCTCGGGCAGTATGTAGATATTATCCGAGTATTATGCGCGCACAGCACGGGCAGAGTGAGGGCTTACGGCAAGCTGTCGCCACCCTTCAATATCTCCAGCGGTGCGAGACAAGGATGCCTGCTGTCACCTTTCCCCTTCAACTTCGCTATTGACGAAGTCATGGAGATTGTATTTACAGGACACGACTTAGAAGGCGTGGAGCTACTCCCAGGAGAACCAGTTTTTGACTTGGAGTATGCAGACGACATCGTCCTCATCTGTGACAACTCCCACACGTGCCAAGCGGCACTGGACAGATAAGCACTGGCTGTCAGCCGCTTCGGGCTTTGGTTTGAACCATCAAAGTGCAAAGCTTTCCTCTGAGATTATTCAGGGTTCGCCTCCTGCGCTGAGACTTGGTGGAGATCAGCTAGAATTCGTTCAGAAATTCAACTACCTGGGAAGTTGTATCAGCGCCCTTGGGATCGAAGACGAGATCACCAACCGTATAGCAAAAGCGCGAGGCGCTTTTGCTAGTCTTCGCCACCTAAGGTGGCGGCGCGACATCACTCTCGCCATAAAGGGTAGAGTGTACAATGCAGCGGTATGTTCGACAGTACTGTACGGTTGCGAAACCTGGCCCCTAAGATAGGCGGACATAAAGAGGCTAGTTACGTTCGATCATCAGTGCCATCACAGTTTAGCTCACATCTGGTTGGAACACCGCGAGGGTAACAAGCGTATTCGACACCTTGTTTACGGCACAGAAAAAGGAATTGAATCGCTCAGCACCGGCATGTCACACACCAAGCTCTGATGGCTGGGCCACGTGTTGCGCATGCTAGCCCACCGACCTCCACGACGTGCGTTGTTTGCTTACCGGGGATATGGATGGAAGAAGAGTAGGGGTGGCCAAACGATGACTTGGTCCAGAGGAATGAAGGTCCTCACTTCGGAGCTTGACCTCGGATTGAAGCTTCACGGCTCCCTGGTTGGGGTCCAAAAGACGGTGAACACGTTTGGCTGGATACACTTGCTGACATGGCAAGGAGCCGACCTCAGTGGCATTCCTGCTGTGAGTTTCTTTGTCCCTCCCCATCCTTTTTAGCCTCCCCCTCCAACCACGATCTTATTTCGTAGCGTAATAAATTTTACATAACAATTTTTCTTTCTGCTACCAGCCGGCTGATAGCTTTCAGGAACGATGCTCATCCTTTGCTGTTAGCTCAGCTGGCATGCTACTTGTATTTATTTTCCTTTTTATGTATTGCGGCACATTAGATGAGGTGTTTTACACCTCTAGCTAACGTGTATACTGATGATGATGACTGTCCGACAAATCAAATACAATGCTCTACTTACCACTAGATTCCGGCTTATACATGAAGCCGGTGGCCTGATGTTGAGTGCAAAATAAATGGTCGAACTTACGAATTTGTCTTTCATTTGAATACTATTCTCCTTTAGACTTTACTTCTGAAATTTTGTTGAAAAGTCGTGTATAGTCTGACTGCGTTATTGCGACCTTCAGATCTAGGCTCTGTCGAACTGCTTCGAGGCGGAACACCTTTAAACGTCTGTTAAAGGAATCAGCTAGTTCAGAAATGCTTTTGTTGAACTGAACGCAATCCTTGCGGAGCTGTATGTGTTATCTGGAGGTTTCACTACGATGGATCGGAGCATTATGCTATTCCATATGCATCTGAGGTTGAAAACATGGTGATTGCCTCTGTTCGCCTCAAGCCCCGCCAAGCGAATGCGTTCATTACGCAGTTTCCGAACGCGGATGTTATGACCGAACACCAGATGTTATTCAACCAGCCCCTGTTGTGTTCCTTAAGAATTATACAAAAAATGGTTATTTTGTTTTGACTAACCAGCCGCGCCATATGTTTTGTTTTAATGTCTCGTGATCCATGCCCCTCGGGACATTCTAATGCTCGGTGGATGTGAGGTATCCTGACTCCTGAGAAACTTGGTACAAAGCTTTTGAATGCCTCTATTTATCTCCGGATGTTTGGACAAAAATTAACCATCTGTTTTGCTGACATCCATTTTCATGCAGCGAGGACCAAACAGATCAAATAAATGAACTTCATGACCAGCTGAACGAAACTCGACGGGAACTCAATCGAGTGAAAGAAGAACGAGCGCGGTTAGCCGACGCGGCCGTTTCAGCGAGACATTGGCAAGATGAAGTGGACGCTTTACGAGAATCTATGGAACGCGCACAACGGCTTGAACTAGAGAACGCCAAACTTAAGCATCGAATCTGTGAAGTAGATTATTACAAAGTACGGTTTTATTGACTACTTGAGGAACTTAAGTGTACACTTTGTATGGCACAAACTAATTGTGTCTCTAAATGTGGCAATTTGCAATCTTAGGCAATTCCTTCCATTACAATGCGCTGTATTGCATCGAAAGCGATCGAGTTGATAAATGCACACAGCTGTGGTAAGGATGAAGCGACGAGTCACTTTTGCCCGATGCACAAGATCGCCGTACAACACCGAAACCTTCCGCTGTTGCGAATACCCGACTCACTCACTTTGGCTCGTTAAAATTTACACCCCGGTCTAGTGTCTCCACGTTTACTCCCTAGTTGTTTTCTTCCGAACTCGCGGTAGTTGTTATGGTATCTAAATTGGCCTTTTTGCTAAATTCATGCAAGTAACTAGATGTTGGCGGTTATTCATATTTCATTGTTTCGCGAACACCACGAAGGTAACTGAAATTCCATGACATCACACCAAGATACAGACATTCGAATGAAGATATTTCCTTCATATCCACCGGGTAAACTTGCACTGCGAGTGCCGGTTACATCTAAACCGTTGTCCAAACCTAGCGTCATTGAATGTGAACATTTATAGTGGCTTGAAGTTCACCATGTGCACTTGTGGACATCTGCGCTTGGGAAGAATTAGTACCGTAGATGCTCAAATGAAGGGAGTAATCTCCAAGTGCTTGTTTGTGATCTTTAGCATCTTGAATCGTGGCTGCTGTGACTGGTTGATGGAGATTCTAGACCTGGTTACCAAGACACCTGCGGTACACTTATGATTAAGGAATATCCAAATGGAGAAAATATTGCTCTTCTTCTAATACACTGGTCAAAAACACTTTCTTGGGTAGATAGCACGATTAGATTAAGCAGTGGATGAGAGTCGGCTTTCCGTCGTAATTATGAGTGACTAGCGCAACTCTGTCCCCCATCTCAATGGCATATAGACGCCATTGGTCTCAGTGCTCCTCCAGTTACTGTGCAATATTTTAACAACTCACCTAAGACGTGCAGCGTCTGGCAGGTGTTCAGACTTAGATTCGACTGCCGCCAATTCCATGGATTCAGTTAAACTACATATACTTCCTCACTATCGCTTCCGTTCTAACTGCGACAAATAGTCAAAACCCTGCATAGGTTGCGTATGCCCAGCATTTCTTTGTTAGCCACTTTCGCTCTATTTCAGAACCACAACCGATGAAGTACCCCTTACTACACAAGAATTTGAATTCTAACATATCGCTTTTGATAAAACAAATATCCACTTCATGCACACTCATCCGAGTGAATGACAGATACTTTGCCAATCTATACTTCAGCTAGCTCTTTACAACTGGGTGACCAGAAGTGAAACTACCTTTTATACTCTGATGCACACCGTATTATCAAGAATGCCCATGTTCTTGTTTCACCGCAATTTTACTGCTTTACGGGTTTCACTTTATGGTGTTCGTCTTACAGCACTGCGTGTTGTGGCCAAGTGGAATGCACACACTACCCGGTATTTTATCTCCAACCTCAGTGGAACTGACTTATCTCTTCTCTCCAAGTAATTCCTTTGCTTTACATGATGTACAGCCTAGAAATGAGGTACACAGTTGATCCAAAGATCAAGAGTCGATAAAGATTGCAAGTTCCAACGGTCCCGAATCTAGTACAAACCTCATAAAAATCAGATGTTGAACGACCGAAAACAGTGAGACCCATATGTCTACTCGTACGTGTTCACGCTGAACCGGATAGTACGGTTCGCATCGTAGGCACCCGAAGTCGGCCCATTATCGTGAACCACGCCAGACAAGGTAGAGAGAGAGTTCTTCTGTTTGTCCACCGTATTCAGAATGCCTCATCTGGTATTCGAACTTTCTCAGACATCCCTTGAAGCAAGCGCCAATGAAGAAAACAGAACTCTCTAAAGAACGGAAAATCATCATTTATTGATTGTGCCCAAGAAGTTAAAAATAGGATGTGTAACGCTTCGGTAAGGCTGGTCTTATTGTATGGATCAGAGAGATAGCCAGTTCGCGGCGAAAACGTTAAATCTTTAGCCGTGTTTGACCTCCAGTGCTTGCCGACAATTGCTCACATCTCTTGGGAATACCGGGTGAGATCCTTCAGTTGGTTTTTGGAAAGTAACGTTCTGGTTCCTCATTCGTTATGCTTACTAAATTTTAATCGGTTACGTTGGCTAGGCCATGTCCTCTGCATGCCCGTTGACCGGCTTCTTCGGTTTTCATTATACGCGAAGTCGCGAAACGGCCAATCCATGACACGGTACAGAAGCTTGAAGAAGTTGACTGCGAGACTTGGTCAGACGGGTGCGTGTCGTCTTCGTGGATGGGGGCCTCAGGATGGTCAACACAGATGGTTGGCGACCGTATCAGACATGGCGCAATCAGTGGCGTTCTTGCTGTCGGTTTATTACATCTGGTTGTTAATTTTCGTTCCATTCTGATTAGTCTAACACTCGTCCTTCTTGCTTCCATTTTCTTTGCCTTTAATCCCACTAGCTTGCGGGGGTTATTTATGGTTATCCTTGCAACGTGTGTCGCGGCGACTGGATCCACTGTACTTCGGTGCTCGGATCATAGTTCCTCAACTGAAAGGAACTGGATTTGTATCCCGGAAATTCCGGTCTCCTATAAACGCGATGTTCAAAATCATGGCTGGAGGAATGGCGCCACATTCGCAAGGCGATCTCACTCGATAACTTGATAGCCAGATCGATCATAAGGCTATCCTCCTCATTATACTACAAAGGATGCAGTCCCAAAGGGATGAAATTTGTGCTCTCGTTCAAACACTTGACTACCAAGACACTTGAAACATGACATTAAGGCCGTAATACGCTCTCCTGGAAGACACGCCTAAAGACGTGCCACAACAGACCCTATCCAAGCGAGGGAGCGCAAGGTCACTTGGGTGTAACAGCGACCACAGTAAACATTTCTTTCGAAACAGACTATTGGGAAACACCACAAATTCACAAAGGAGCAGGAAATCATCCAGTGGCTGCCGGAATCGATACCTCATCCTGCAAACCTTCTATCAGGGAATATGAAGCGGCACAGCGTTCGAAATCATCATTTCACCAAAGAGGCGGTTAGTTTCCGACCACGTAAAGGTCAGCAAAACTCGAACTGACACCCGCACCCTCAGATATGAGTCTGACATTCAAAAGGCTCGCCTGTTTGAATATCAATGCCTAGGATTTTTCCAGCAAATCGTCGGATCTTCAATCACTTCTAGACTTGACGTCTGTGAACTTGACCATGACAACTGAGACCTGGTTGATTGTCGACAAAACTGATGTTGAGATCGCTTTACCAAGCATGTCCGTCCTACATAACGGTCAACCTAGTAATGGAGGTGGTGTAATTTTGTACCGTCACAGTGACCTATATTTCGAACTTGTTGATGGCACAACAATTCCATTTCCTGAGACACTTTGGTGCCACCTGCGCCTAAAAGGGGGTGATACATGTTTGGTTATCATCGTGTACTGCATTCCTTTTTTCACCCTACAAATGGATATCCATCTACTTACTGCTCCAAAAACCATTCTGTCACAGCCTGATATTCGGGTTCTTTTTCGGAAGACATCAACCTGCACACTACAAGGTTTTAGATCCGACTTGATGAACAATTTAGGTCCAAACTGCAAAGGTTACTCGCTGACATACCACTTCATAACTACCTTACAAATGGGGAACATCTGATTGACACAGTAAAAGTGAGTAGCCCTTTGTGGCGCAGCTGTCACGTCTTCCTGCCTTTTCGCTACTTTTGGTGCACAAAATGCATCAACGGGGACAACGAGGAGGTCCGTATCGCGGCGCATTACAGCACTCTAGCTCACCTCATCAAGATCACTGATTGGTGCTTTCTACTAAACAACCAACTGATGTCGCTTGGATGGAATTGGTCAACAAGTTCAGCACGCTAGTACCGAAGGCATAAGAACAGAAACCCTCAGCTGGAATGTGGTAACGCCTTCCTGAGGAGTAGTACGCAGTAACAAATGACTGTGAGGCTCAATTTAGCAAGCATATAAAGCCACTACAAATAAAGAAAACTGGAAATCCTACCTAACCTTGTGGAAACACTGCGTCAGATTGGTCAAGGTGGACAAACTGAAACAACTAGGTTAGTTTGCTAAGATGTTCTGCTCCAACCATAAGATGTTTTACAGGTATACTATCAAACGCAGCATGGCACCCTGAGGCATTTCAGCTCTGAACATCGCATGTGAGCAAGCGCAAACTGCGCAACAAGCAGCCATCGCTCATAGACAACAATTCACTTGTAATTTCCAGAACGCACTGCCATTCCACAGCACTCACACACAGATCACGCCACCTCCAGGAATCAGCCACATCTTCACTGCAACGACTGATGTCACTGCGCGGGCAATATGCATCTGGTCCAGAATGTATACGCCTAAAGCCAATTTAGGTAGCTGCCACAAGTTTGGCTGGGTTGTTGTCCCGGTTTTTCCAGTTCTGTCTCGACGACATGAATGTCCCAACTACATGGAAGCGTGGAATATTCATCCCATTTACATGGGGAGTAATTGTGATGACCATACAACCTACCGCCCCATATCTTTTCTACTAGTCCTTTCTAAAGCCATGGAATGTCATTGCAGAAGCAGTTATTGGATAGTTGGAATGATGCGGATTCATTTTGCCGGAGCAGCGTGGCTTCCGCCAAAATCTTCTGATGCCCAACAAACCATTTTTCAGCCTCTACCAGCTGAACGGAATCTCTCGATGCCGAGTAAAGAGTTGACGCTGCGTAGCTTGATTTCTCGACGACTTTTGATAGCGTAGGTCACTGATTCCCTCTTTACGAGCTTCAGGGCTATGGAATCACAACCCCTATCATTGTCTAGATACGTGAGTTCGTAACCCAACGCCACTTTTATGTGAGTTCATAGTGCTTTGTCTCACTTGACAGAAGTGTCTTGTGGCGTCTCATAAGGCTTCGTACTGGGGCTAGTTTTCATAATCGACTTCGCGGAAGAGATCACCCCAAACTTTCTGCTTTTTGCGGATGCTCCCAAGATTTACTATTTCTTAAGGATAGTAGATAATCACCAAGCACTGCAAGACAATCTCGACAGTGTTTACAATTGGTCAGTTTGCAACTTGCTCTAGTTTAACGCCACTAAATGTAAAGTATTGAGCATACGCCACCACGATGAAAGTACATCAGCTAAGAGAGCACCTTTTACAGCATGCTTCACCTGAAAATGGTATTGGGGTGCTCGTGCAGGAACAATGGAAGAATAGTTTATTAGGGGTTAAAAAGTTGGAGCTTAACTGGACCCGTAGAGTATCCAAGGTAAATGACGCGATGTAATGTCAAACCATCCGTAAGATGTTAGGTCACACCGGTTGGATCGTTGAGGTATATGCGTTAAAATCGCAAATTCAGTGGAAATTTATAAGGAAGAACTACAAATGTGCTCTCCTAGTGAACACTTGTAGCAGGTGAATACCTGGAACGTAATCTGGGAGCAGTGAAGTCTGCGATAGACTCTCGTTCGTTGCCAAGTGTAATGAGTCATGTGAGATGGGGCTGCTGAATGTTTGAACGGTCAGTTAGGCCTTTGAAGTTTACCAGCGTAGGAGCACAAATGGCAGATTCTGATAGGGCTTTCCACACTTGGCAAGCGCGGGCCGAAAAGTAATTTCGACGTCATTAAAAACGAGTGTACTGTTCCGCCATCTTGAGATGTTGGCCTCTCAGATTCCTGTTGTGGCTTAGGTCCAGTAGATGGCAACGCGCGTAGTTGAAGTCTCTCAAAATCTGATTAGTCATAATATGGTGCACACGTAATTGTCTATATTGTACGCTGATACTCTGCTTACTCTCTGCCTTTCTTCGTGTGGCATACGGTACAAGTGTTTGACGTTACCCGGAGTTGAGTTATCTCCCAAGTGATGAGATCTCTACTCAGCCACGGCTGCCATACCTGTGTTGCATAGTATAAGGGTTGATGCATGTATGAGCTGATAAACTGCTGAATACTGGATGGGTTGAAGCATCCGAATGCACGCCGCAAGTGACCCATGTTTTGATTGTGGTTTCTCGATGCTTTATCAGTCTGATCCGGACTATCTCGGTCAGTCAAGACAGACCGAAAAACTCTGAGAAAAGTAGGTCATCAGTTGGGCCTCCTGCAGCGGTGGTTTGTCCGGTTTGGCACCACGACCCTTCCGCAGCTGCTCAAGGCTAACATGATGCCCCATCCAGAATACGTCACCCAAGTCTGGCACCTGGGGTAGAAACATGAATTTGGGGCGACTAAAATGTAAATCGCTTACTCTAGCTTCCTTACCACTGTGGGATAAAGTCACCAACCGTTTCCATTGGATAACATCACCGTCTTCCAGGTTATTTTACATGCGTGTATCAGATCCTCAAAGATCCCAACCACATATACCGACACTTAATGAAATTAAACCACTATACCACAGTGAGATGCTTCCAGCCGATTTTGACTACACAGTATAGCTGATTGGAATGTCGCCGGGACGTTTTCCCTATTCACTTACCTCATTCGTGAAATGCCCTTCCGAGTTCTGTCATTTCCACTCCTATGTTGACTGAACTCAAAATATGACTAGACGATGCGTCACATCACCTGCATTGCATAATCTAAACTCAAGTCGCTTGGATAAGATATAACGTAACCGGACTGTGTACACATATGAAACATACATTGAGTCCACCGATGCGCGTTACGTTTCTTTTGATAATTTCACTTTTTGCTCTCGCTGTTTACCTACGAGAGTCTTGGCACCTTTGCTTTCATGCCTATGCTGCATCCATCGTCTGGTTGTTCTATTTGCTCAACTAACACACGTGCTGCAGACTGTCATCATTGTGCTCCTCTCCATTTTCACATAAACATCTATAGGCGCGTTGTGATCAATTGGCTGGGGACCTTGAAGCGATGGTCGAGCAACAATCAGAAAGTCCCGCGGCGAGAAATGGCGAGTCTGATACTCGCTGCACTTTGCTAGAGGAGTTGAATAAGACGCGGATGAAGTTAGCAGATGTAGAGAAGGTAGGTTCAAAGGGCGCACATTTGCCCCAAACACTTCTTACATTTCCAACGGTTACCACACATGCTGATCGCATCTGTCTCAATTAACTTTAGGTATGGTCTAGCTTCCGTTCCTAATAATATATTTTCATGGTGGCGTTGCTTTTGGAAGAATCTTTTGCTGCACGAGTCCTATAGCGGATTGTTGACCAAAGATAGGTTTGACTGAAGATTTTCACATTTTGTGATTAAGCTGTGAATCAAGTAAGGTGCTTTTTATTTGCAAAACTAATAGTATTGGTACTGCTTCACTGCTTGTCCCCGATGCAGTTGCGGAGCATCGATCTTGATGAAATGACAAAACTTCGAGAAGAACTCGGAAAACTACGTCTGGAGCAATGCACTTTGATCTCGAAAAACAGTTCAAAAAAACTTGCCTTGTTTGGATCCATCCCGGAACAACTATTCCGCTCAAATCGTCACCTTAGCTCCAAAGATGCCAGCGACTCTGAAACATCAGAATGCTCAAGTGCGATGAGACCGGAACCGACAGCTCCCAATCTCTCAGTGCAACTACAAGAATCCGTAACCCTTCCATTGACCAGTAATCGAACGAAGCATAATCATGCCAGTTGGTCAGCCACAGAACTGACCGATACAGGTACACCCTTACCTGAAGTGGAAGCAATCGGACGATATCAATCCGAAAAGGTTAGTTTATTGCCGCTTTAGCATCCACAAGTATAAGCTGTTTGCCCAATTTGCTATTAAAAGATGCAACCGATTTTGTTCAGAGCGGTATCGTACTCAGAACACAATCTACTATGGCCAACCTTAAAGTATCTCTCACTTAAGTCGATTTGATAGTTGTCCTTTTGATAGTTGTCTCCCAGGAGAGTAAACGGCCCCTTGTGTATGCTCTTCATTACTCATGAATTCTTCAACATGCTATGAATCCAATGACAGGCTGTAGTCAACACTACCCCTACCGTGAAATTTTGCGTCGCCTGACCAACATCATTTTGTTACCTCACATGCCATAAAGAGGTTAATCCCTATATCCCGGTAATAGTAGCAGTAATCTAAACGGTATGGTAAAAAGACATGGAGCCAAAAAAAGCATGGGGATTAGCAGATAAGGGGCAGAATCGCCGCGTCAAAATCATCGTAGCACAGTAGTTGAAGGTGAGCAACACACTTCAGCTACTGTGTCGCAGAAAGAAAGGAACATTTTGACAACAAAGGGAACAAAATAATCTAGTTTGTTTTTCACACGTTGATTTTTCTATCTTGTCAGTTTCAATGTTTGAAGTATTAAGCATGCGCATCAATACAATTCTGCACACAATTCTTCCACTGGTTCAGGTTGTGGGCCATGTCTTCAAGCGTGTTAAGCCATTGGCACCCATCATCCTTGGGTCCCCATCCTGGAAGACTTACGGTTCCAACGGCGACTAGACTCGACGTCAGCGATTTCATGTGCTGTTGCCAAGTGGAAGCCTGACCACCACGCGGTCGCCTCTATCCAGGTCCTTAACGAGCGAGTAGAGCGCGGCGCGGTAGATGCTCAAATGCCATGAGTAAGAGATGACCAAGTCATCTCAACTGGCGCAGCAAAACCAGTTTGTTGTTGGGACTACTTGCATTCCCCATAACGCGACGTCGAACGTCATTACTACGAACTCAACGTTGCGACCATACACCAGCAATCCTCCTTGAGCAACCGTTGTCGAATGTAGAAAGACGACACATGTCCTCCACGCAAATTGGCCAGGAGTCGCCGTCATACAACAATACCGAACTAACAGATGTGCTTTAAACACGGCCCTTTAGCGAGAATGAGACGTCGCGAGGACGCCACAAGTCTATCAGATGGGCAAACGCTGATCGAGCTCAAGTGATGAGAAGAGAAACTACTTGCTGATAGTGCCGTCAGCAGAAACACAGCTCCTAATATAGATGAAACCATCTACCTGTTCAAGTTGTGCACCTTTAAGAGTGAGCACGGAAGCAAATGTAGGCCAATTCTGGAGCAGTACTTTAAACTTCGATGGGGCGAACCACATACCATACTTGGCTCCTTCAACCGCCAAACGATCCAGAATAAGTTGCATACCCTGTGGATCGTCACCAAGTAAGTTGATGTCATGAGCATAAGCTAAGTCGGTCACGTGCACAGTCGGTAGAAGCCCTAACCCCAACTGTGTGAAACCTTCTAGAGCACTCGACAGAACGTCTTCGATTGCGAAGTCGAAGAGGAATGGGGAGATAGGGCAGCTCTGCCGCACACCGCTATGGACAGCGAATGGCGAGGAAAGCTTGCCGTAGAACCTCACTCTGTCGTAAGTAGGTTGGTACAGTGCAATTAATGTGGTGGTCTACTTCTCTGGCACCTCGTTCTTTAATAAGAAAGGTCATAAAGCAGGTCGATCACCGGAGTCAAATTCAACACGTATATCTAGGAATACAACAACAGTGTGCCTGTGAAAAATGTGGTGATGTTCCAGGAGTTGGCGGAGCGTGCAGATTTGATCCACGTATTTACGGCTGGGACGGAACTAGCTTGTTCTCCACCGTAGGATGGTTCACGTATTAGGGATAGTCTACGGAGCAGTATGGATGCTAATAGCTTGGAGGCAACCGAAATAAGACTAATCGCGCGATGATTTACGCATAAAGTGCGAGTGCCTTACTTGAAAATCACGACAATAACTGATTTGCCCCAAGAGGAATGCACTTTCTCTTCATGCCAGATTTTTGTGAACAAGGTGGTCAGCTGGTTAATGATCGCCACGTCTCCGTATCTGCAGAGCTCCGTAGGAAGTCCGTCTGAGCCGGCAGCCTTGAACCGCTTCAAGCGTCGAATCTCGAGGCAGACTTCCGCTCCGCTTGGTGGAATGAGCCAAGATAGACAACGAGATGTACTGCATGTACAGATAGACGGGAGAAGCCAGCCGAATTGCTAGTGAAAATGCTCGTCCCGGCGGTTCAAACGCCTCTGTTTGTTGGTGATCATAGACTCATCCACCTCGCAAGTAACCTCACTGCCACCAGACTTCCTGAGGCTAGTGGACCGAATGAGTTAGAAAAGCTTGCGTGTGTTGCCTGAGTGCAGCGGTCTGCATTCCTATGGCACGCTCAGACCACCATGCCTCACGATCCTTGCGTAAGATTTGCTTGAGCAGCCGGTTGGCTGAATGACGCTGCTCGTTGCCATCTGATTCCGCCGGGATGATATCTTTGCGGCGGTCGAACAGCTCCAGAGAGTGAGCAGAGATGTTAGCCTTTAGGGGGCGTCGAACTAGGGAGCAGTCTGGCTGTCTGGAAATGGTCATCGCTTTCCGCATACAAGTCTAGTGTTGCTCTATGTCTTGCGGTGGATTGCAACTGAGTGCGTATGTCAGTGAAGACTCATAGCTCACCTGCACAGAGGAATTGGTTTATCTGTTTACAACAATTTTTCGGTGCTTCGTTATGTGGAACTCTCCAAAAAAATGCAGATTTTCGCGCATACCAGTGCATGATCTGATTCAACAAAGGTGAAGCAAAAGGACCTGCAGTTCTGTACGCTGTCACGCAATCTGAAGCTGCTTGCAACTTGATCAAGTTGAGACAATGGTTGTGTAGGCGAAGGGGTCGCCACGTTGCGAGACCTTTCTTCGTACGCCTAAAGTTAGTGTTCGAGAGAAACAGATGGTTATCTTCGCACAATGTGAGAAGCCTCTCTTCGTTATCAGAGCGGTCCTGATCGAGCGCGTGGTGACCACCAAGGTGGCGTTCATATGGTAACATGCGGCCAGCCCGTGCATTAAAATCCCTAGCAAGGGCAACGACATTCGACTGTTTAGCCTTAGATCCAGGTAGAAGTCGTCCTTGACCGAGCCACTACTACAGTCATTTGGAACGTACGTGAAGATCACAAATAAGTTGAGTATTTTTTTTGCGGCGCTTGTTGATTCTACATGAAGCCTAAAGCCGAACTGCACACATTCGGCTGTTAATCGGGAACCAGTTTAGTAGTACCACCTCGGCCTTACCACTTAATGTTATACGTACACCAGCCAAACACGCTGAGGATGCTTCTGGATCTCCAGAAAGACGCAGGAGATATTTGGCTTTCCTGGTCAGATGGGGATGTCAAAGTAAGTACAGTCCTGGGGTCTTGCAATCGGATTTCTGAAAGGCAACAGATGTCGATATCGAGGGACTCTAGGGTGCGCGCTAGACCGGCTTGCAGTCCACTCTGCATGAGTGTCCCAACCTTGAAGCACGCCAGACGGAACGAGGATCGGGGTAGAAAGGGGAGCCATAGGATGAACTCCATAGTTCGCAGTGCAATTGCAATCGCAGACAGATTGCTGAACACATGATTAAGTTAACGGAAAGTAAGTATTATTAGGTAACAAACAATTGGCATGTGATGAAGTCGCATGAAATTAAGAAGTAGAAACGGTAGACGATGAGCACATTGTAGAACAGTCTATTATTTTGTGAGAGGATTTCATACAACCCGGTTGCCCAAGCAGGAATAGGACTTTGACGTAGAGGACCCCACCCCGAACATTTAGCTAAATGGCTTACCCGCAAGACAGCTAGGCGAATTCTGGGAATCGCGCCCACTGGGATTCGGTGACTGAATGTTCAGTTCATACGTCTTTTGTTTGTCAGATCATCAAACAGGGCCCAATACTCTCCATGAAACCAGCACAATAGCTGGACTATAAGACCCTACCGAGGAGGAACACTGTCGCCGAACAGTTCGCTGGAACGGGGTACACACAAGCCACCCAGCTGACACCACGATGAGGTGGTGTAGCAAGAATGAGGAGGCAGGGAAGCACAGTCTTTATTGCCGAAGAACAACGGGTTACCAGACTAGCACACAGGCGCGCACGCGTAGAGAACATTTCCATCCCAACAAACGTTGTCTTATCGCTAGGCGTTAGATTCATGTCCCGACTACGTCCAGTTCGCGAGGTCTTCTTCACCGATTTACCGTCGAATCTTCGCTTCCATCCGTCGTATTCTCACCGGACTTGATTCGTTCTAATGCTTTTGACTTGCTCAATCGCGTTGCTTTGCTCTACTTAGGGTTGTTCATTGAGGCGTGACCATAGGCGTACCTCTCTTGAAAATTGGGCTCTCCGCCACAACACCCACCAATTTCCTCGGATTGGACCCATAATGGTTTGTCACTTGTGGCCCATTCCCAGTTTGTTTTGTAGACTTCAAGCTGCTTTGCCAAAATTCGTCCTTGATGCCCACGTTAGTTTCCCTCTTCCTTAGTTTCCTTGGATTTTCCGTCTCACCTGTGACACTTGCCTTCTGTCATACTACAATAGGACTCCTAATTATCTTCTTCGAAATATTTAGTATTTTAATGGATTTTGACATTATTTTCAGCTCGATTAGGAAATAATGGATTCAGCACACAGGGCAGCGTGATATTGCATATCGCAATCCACCCACACAACGGACGATCGTACCAGTGCCCATGTTTGCAGGGGAAATTATCAGGAAATCTGAGTCACTAAAGGTCTAAATAACTGATCACTGCGCTTTTATATGGTGTGATGGACGTTTACCCGTTTACTTCCATTTACAAGGGATCTCTGGTTTGTTTTCACTCTCAAATGCCAGGAACGAAAGGTCCTGGAATTACGAACATGCTTCCTCCTTTGCTAAGCATATGTAATGGAGCAATGGGGCAA